ACAAGAGCCGGATATACCTATGATGAACTCGTAAACACATAACCATTGAACCAACCTAGAGAGGGAGTTAGGCAAGGAGGATCAATTTTCATCTCTCAGCTCTGATCATTGGCAAATTATAAGAACTAACACAAGTACGCTTTCCTGAGTCTTGTTAACGTCTGATGCTCATACATAAGTTTACAAAGTGATGCTGTCCCCCATTTTAATCGATAGAACGGTTTCTTGAGTCTCGTTCCGAGTTGTGACGAAGAAGCAAGGATGAAGAGCATAGCGGAGCCATGCCCAACCACGAAGTGGTCGCCATAATAGTAAAGGCATATCGTTCGAGGTTTCGGGGAAATTGCAAGCTCTCACCACACACCAATCATGTTCGAGGATAGTTTATACCTACATGAGCGTATATGTACACTGGACGCATAAGATATGTATGATAAAACCTTAGATTCGAGTGACCACTGCAGTGTTCTGCGGAGTATGCATGGACCAGCAACTTTGTGCGGTTGTCTAACGCACATACTCAGTGCAATATACGGCTAGCAACGCAACCCGCAGCTTGTTGTATCATCGGACTATTTCTCGTAAACCAGCAACAATTACAACCAGTTAGGTGGGTTAACACCTTCGCCTTAATCAGCAGGAGTTTCAACATGTAACTTTTAGAGTTGGTGACTCTGACGCTGGGATTCCAACGCTCATACCCACACAGCACACTGCACGTCAGTTGAGAAGGCTTGAAGGCTCCGAGTACATGGGAAGATTTTCCCATGTTGTCAGGTGCACATGATGTGGCCGGAAAAACATTTCGACTGATCAGCCACCAGCACGCAATGGCTGACGATCAAACCAACAACCAAACATGTCCGCAACATCAAATTAAAGTCTTTTGAAAAACGTAGGTGCCTTGAGCTGAATTACGCTTCTTCAATCTGGTTGACGAACACGTTGTGTGTTCGACTTTTGGCTGCTGGCTGCTCTTATCTCTGATATCAACTCATTAATAGTGCCGTATGAGATAACATTTTGGGCTACATCTCTCTATGGTGAAAGTGGGGTTAACTTTTTTTCGCACTTTCTCCGATGACGAGATGGGCATTTTCCAATTTCCATTGATCCATTCTCCAGCCATATCTAATTGTATCAGGTTCAAAGTTATACAGACCAGGAATCCGCAATCCAGATTCGAAAGCCACGCTGGATCCTTGGGAAGTAATCTGTGAGACACAATTGCATTGGTTGTTTATTTATATCCAGGCGCAGGTTTGTGGGTTTGACCATCGTAAAGTTTTGAACATGTCGACATGTGAGCCTTACCAAGATTATCACATTCCAAGTGAAGGTTTAGCGATCTTGAACAACGTCTTCCCCGAAGAGATAGCATCACTGAAGAGACAAGTAAAGACACACCTCAACAATGAGAGTGATACAGACGAGTATACTCAGCTGATGCAATTGACAATTGCTTCTCATTACATCGCTAGAGACGGTCCGGATTGGGCCGAAAAAAAACGTGAAGAGTTGACACTGGAAGGGTTGACGTTTGTCGGTTACTATGACGATTCAAACCAGCTGAAGGCATTCATTACTATACTACTCACCACTGACGATTGGGGACTGGTTCTCTACTTGTACGAAATTCATGTTCACCCTGACTACCATAGCAGGCATATTGGTTCGCAGCTCATAACGAGTTTCCATAAGCTTGCAGTGTTACTGCAACAGTGTGGCACGATGCTCGATTCGAATACATGTGTCTCACATCTCAATTCCACTAAACTCACAGTGTTCAGTGATAATGACAGAGCTGTTCAATGGTATACAAAATTGGGCTATTTGCTAAGCGACGAGTCACCGCAGAACAAAGTCCTGAGGTCTGGAAGAGTTATCAAACCAGCCTATTATATACTCTACAGACCACTTGGCTTATAATGACGTGTAACCATGGCTCGACACAGGTATAGCCCCGGAATTCAACAACATATCCTCATCAGCTTTGTAAATACTGGTTCGTGGTTGGCCTGGATACTTATCTTCGGGACCAGGGTGTTGCGCCAACCGGGATCTCTTTGATTACGTAAGCTGTATGCGATGTATTACATAATATGGGAGGGGAGACAGAAAAAACTCCTCGACCGAAATTTTAAGGGATTCCCGTATAAACAGTTAACGCCAAACTTCATCTCGACAATACAAGACCTGGATAAAGGAGAACGAACATGCGTTACACTCAGCTTCTAAGATCTGCCAGCCATGGTCCAAGATACATTCGTCACGCTCCACCTTTACCACCAAACGTCAGCACTGCGTCCAAGGTGATTTCCAAGACCATTGGTGCCATCTCCATATTCTGGATTCTCTACAAAATCAAGGAGGACGGTATGGTTATGATTGTGAGTGAATTGATTACCCTGGTTTCCTCTTCGTTATTTTTGGCTCGATACTAACGTAATCGCTTTAGGGATTGAAACATCCATGGGATCACTGATATCTTCAAGAAGAGATGTAATCTCGTTCTGGACGATGGCATCCACGTTATTTTATTTATTTACGCTTTTATTTATTCAACAGATATACATAAAATCTACATTCTGCAAAGCCCTGTAATATATGTGTAGTTCAAGTGTGTATTATAGATTAAATGGTTGAAAAGAATAGCCGAACTTTGGTACTGTATTTGAATAGTATCTGTGTTGTATGCATGGTTCTACTGTGGAGTTTGGTTAATTGATGGTCAACGCTTGGGATAGTTGCCTCTTGTTCCTCGACCACGGGACCCATTCCCTGTGGATCCACCGTATCCTCCTCTTCTGAAGCCCGAGTTTATTCTCTCTCTAACCTCCTGTCCGGATCTTTTGAATGTGAAATCAAACCCTTGAGCGTTAGCTTCGAACTTCATGCGTCCATTTTGATAGGCAAGAACCATAGATCCAATAGTAACATCACACAAGTTAAAATGCCATTGGTTTTGAAATGCAAGGTAATACATGTCACTCTGAAGCCTGATGGTGTTTGAGTTAACGTCTCTTTTGTTGAAGGAGAGTGCCAACGGTATGATATCCTGATCCTTTGAGTTAATCACAGGAATACGATCAAAACATGTCAGTGCAGTGCTCAATAAGTCTTGGAGACGGGGTTCACTCTCAACAACTTTCTCAATGGTGTTCTGAACCTGAACCCAGATTGAGGATAACTGTGAACGAGCATCACTGAATTTCAATTTATAGAATTCAAAATTTGGACATATGCTAAGCTCGTTAAAAGATGACGGATAGAGGAAGTGTAGTCCATTGGATATGGTGTAATCCATCTTGAGGAACACACTGAGATGAGCCAATAGTCCTTCACGGGACGGTGATGGATGTGACAGCATTATTTTTACCTGGGTCTTTTGAGAGTTGTTCTCCACGGTCTTGATGAATTCTCCAATCTGCAACATTGTAATCCAAACGTTACCAGGATCACCAGCAACAGGGGTGAAATTGTGCCTCTGTTCTGCCGTGATGTACTTGTTGAGTTCATTGTCAAAAGTTCCATGGTGGAAGAGCTTTTGATACGACAAGCTGCCACCTATTCCACATAAAAAGAGATCCAATTCTGAGTCCAGCTTGATCACTGCCGTGGTGCTTTCATCCAATATGGTGAGGTTTGGAATCGAGTACACTCCAAGCCTGAACTTGTTCAGCACAGTTGAGTCTTCAACCATGCCGTAGATGGTATACACAGGTACATTCAGCCTCTTTTCTCCACGCACGTAGTCCATAACTTCACTCACTTTACGCCCACGCAGCAGATCTCTCAACGCCTGAACGTCGTGGTCCACGTACTCGCCGTTGGCCCTTGACAGCTCACTAATCTTATCAACAAGCTCCTGGTCCAGCAACGGGGAGAACGCCACAATGTGCCGCAAATAGCTCTCATGGATCTTATCCACACTGTTCTCGTCGAAGAAGCCAAACGACCCCGTGTGCACAATGACATCTGCTCTGTACTGGACAGCAAGTTCGTTCAACAACGATAAATGACCACGGATTTCAGCAAGACACAGGATTCTGGTGCCGCCATGGGATATCAGTTGAGGCTCCATGGTCCTTGCACGTAGATGTGTCGATACACGTGTGCGTGTATGCCTTTCAAGAGTCTCTCAGAGAGAATAGCAGACGTGTATATGTCGTCCAAGGTATCCGCAATCCTATCACAATGGCAAGGTCCCTGTGTCCCTAGTTTCCCTGTGCTGTATAGTCGAATGGCCAATTGATCACCACTTTCTTAAACCAAACAGAAAAAAAAACACGCACATGCACACTTCTCGAGAAGACACACACAATGCCACACTTTGGTTAATCTTATGTATCTGACTCCAGCTGAAGTCCTTCAAACCGTGATTGTATACGTTGGAAAATGGTGAATCCATGGCGAGTGTTTTTTTCGAAGCGGCTAGCTTAGTCAGAGGCCAGAAGAGGGAAAATTTATCATGGCCAGGATGAAAGGGGAAATAATCGCGGCCGCACAGAAAGAAAAACAAAACAAGCCAGCAGCTGGTGATTGATAATGGTGTGGTGATCATTGGTTGCCGGTGCGACGGTGGAGGGAAACTCGTTCACAGTGCTTGGTCACAGTGCTTGGTCACGAGAAGAGTCAGTACCTGGGAGTTGAATCAGAGGGTCCATGATGTGATGCATTTCTTTGGGTGTAGTGATGTCCACGGTCCCGAAACAAGCAACAGGGCTACTCTCTGGCTGCGGTTGATGCGTCTTGTGATATACCAAGTTGGTTGGACCAACAACAGGAAGCTGGGGGGGGGGTGCTCAGGGGGTCAGGTTTGGAGAGGTGTGGTTTGTTCTGTTTCCCGTAAATGGTGGTTGTAGGAGGGTGCACAGGGAGCGTACACGGAGTCGATGTATGGGGCTGTGTGGCTTTTATCCTGGGCGTGTTGTTGTTGTTGTTGTTGTTGTTGTTGTGCTTTCTATTTCTGCATTTAAAGTCTGATATTGCAGGCGCTTTGCCTATCGGTTCCTGGGCCCGTTGCTCTGGCGATTTCATTGTTGAAGATGTTTAAACGGTTCATCAGTTCCACCGCTTTTACACCAGTGTCGTCTCGTCAGATGAAGATGACGCCAATTACAGTTCGTCAACCCCACCAGCTACACGAGCTGCAATTGGCGAGGGCCAATGCGATGTGTCGACAAAGTTACTGTTGATTCAGCTTTTGCTGACACTGCAGTTCAAGCCTTAGAGAGATGACATATTACCGTTACAGCAGTACCGGACATGCCCTCTGCAAATAATCCACAGACTGTTGGAGGGAACGGGGGTTCATCAGAGTTTGGTCTCCAGAAGGAACCATACGAATGATAATAAAACAAAGAGGTCTCTGCCATTGACCATAGACATAGGCTGGGTGCATTTCTATGCTTTAAACCCCACACATGAGCCAACATCTATCTCAAGTAATGGGCCACCTGTTAATCCTCACCTGCGAGTCTCCATCGTCTGACTTCTTACAGCAATTGTGACTATGAGCATTGGAAACTTAGGTAGTTTTACGTCTCTGTTGCAAGCTTTATGGTTGCATTGAACAATGGAATCATCAGAATCATCAGAACAAGCACTGTTAACCGTGATATCTTTCGCAAAATAAAGAGACAATATGTGTTTTGATCATAATTGTATCCTGTTTAGAGGTTACGACAGTGGAGAGTTGCAGTATATCATCTCGGTGGGTTGAAAGCGTGAAATATCGATTTCAACAAGAAGCGCGAGTGGTTTAGCGGTAAAATTCCAAGTTGCCATCTTGGAGCCCCCGGTTCGACTCCGGGCTCGCGCATTTATTTTTTTTTGAATTTTTGAGTCTCGTTCAAAATCAAGAAAGTGAGTTGCAACGTAATAGCCATAGTCACACACACATTGGCTTGACTCTCTAGATCAATGGACCAGTGTAAAAGGTGGAAATGTCAATTGACAATTATTGCAAGTTGACCAAGGTGTCTGTTTTCTCGGAATGTCTCTCTACGAAGCAGTGGCATTCACACTGTGAAGTATTTATCATAAACTAGCATTAGCCATATACTGAACTCCTCAACCTTCGTTTCTAGATCACTCGTTGACTGACTGGATGAACTCGTAAACAAACAATTGAATAAATAGGTGGTCGTCTAGTGTGGTGTATTCATTTACGCTGTGAATGTGGGTTTTGACGAGCTCTGTGGTGCTAAACATGAATCTGTAGATGTTATCTGTCAACGGCCAATAGTAACGTGTATCAGTATTGCCGGTCATCAGAGTACCAGCAACGACTGATGGCTTCTCCAAGTCTGGATGGATATAGTCTTCAACAATGTGTTTAATGGAACCTGAGAATTTAGTCCAGACCTCACCTTCTCTAGGAGAGACCTTAGCAGGCTCAAGACCTTCTCCAGCATTTAAAACAAAATAACCATTCTCCGTTTTTGGTAATATCTCTTCATCATTCAAAAGTATTCCCAAGTTGTACTCTTTAGATAGGACCTTTATATCGCTTAAAACCTGTTCAATTGTCTCATTAACCGAGGACTCAACGTTAATACGGTGATTGATAACAAATGAAACAAATTCAGGCAATGCATTCGATTTGATTCCACCATTGATAATGTCAATGGCCTGTGTGGTTTTAACAGAAGAAGAGGTAACAGGGTCCTCAGATAAATACTTGACAACTTCTGCATTTGACTTTGTATCATATCCTGCTTTGAAGATATGTTTCTTCAGTTGCTTGTCAAAGACATTGGTATGTTCAGCCAGGCACTGTAAGTAGTGTAGAACAGGGTTTCTAGGACCGAGACTTGCTTTGAAAGGGTGATCTTCGATATAGCTGATAAGTTTTGAAACCAAACCAATGTTAGTATGTGGAGGAGGCACCGAGGAGTGTCCTCCAGGTGTGGTTAGGGAAATTTCCAAGTTAATGGATCCCTTTTCACCAATAGCAACAACGGTAATGGCTCGATCATCGACAATCTCAACAGTACCAACACCTTCGTCCACTAGAGCGTAGAAGGAGTCCTCTCCATAACGCTCATTCAGCACACCAGCCAAAGATTTAGCACCAAATTCACCACCACGTTCCTCATCAACCCCGAATGACAGTACTATTGTTCTCTTTGGTTGGAATCCTTCAGAGAGCAACTTCTCCACTGCAGCTAAATCAGCAATGAGAAGAGGCTTATCGTCTGATGAGCCTCGTCCCCAGATTCTCTCGCCGTCAAAATGACCGCTGAAAGGTGGATACTTCCAGTCCTTTAAAGTAGGCTCGAGGACTGGCACAACATCCTGATGCGCAGTCAGTAGCAAGGGCTTCAAGTTTGGATCTGAGCCCTCCCACGTGTAGAGTAAGCCGAATACGTTAACCTTTTCAAGTCTCAACCGGCTATGAACTAGTGGGAAAGACTTTTCCAAGTGATTGTGGAACCGTGTGAAGTTGGTCCAAGCTTCGGGGTGAGTGTTGGGGTCTGGCATATGATCTTGGACTACTGTTGAGATCTTAACAGCGCCGGCAAATATCTCCAATGATTTGTTTCTCGAGGCGTAGTTGAACAGGATCTCATCAGTTGAAGAACGATCTTCATAAAACGATAGTGGGCGTATTGTTTCACCAACAGGACAGCTTTCAGCCGGCTGCGACTTGAAGCTTGAAGCAACCTGGCTCTTGACAAGCTGACTAACACCCCAGGTTCCAACACTGATGATGCCCAGTGTTGCTAGGGCAGCGATTTTACCCCAGTTTGAAGTGCGTTTCGGCTTGACAGGTTCTCCTGCACCATCTTCATCTGTGAGGTAGATTCTCATTTTGACAATACAGTATAATACAGTCTTGATCTAGGAGGCATAAGGAGAAGAAGATACGAGAGCGGAACCCAGGAAACTGAGAGCCTTTTATATCGACAGTGAGAAGGAGAGAGGATAGAGACATGGCAATGGTAGTATTTCCCAATATGGACTCAATGCCGGATCTTACAGGGGAAAGCCTAGCGCGTAAACAGGACATGACGTAGCGTGCTTAGTGTGCTCTTCGGGGTTCAGCTTATATTATATTCTAGTTATATCGACGTCACTATATATCCTTCACTATATTCGATGTTATAGTGTTCCTTTCACCAGTGTGGCTAAATAGATCTAAAGATATGATAATGACAATAAGAATAATCTTAATAAGAATAATCTTAATAACAATAATCTTAATAACAATATAATCCAAAATATAGAATAAAAGTGCTCTCTCTTTCTAAATAGAAAGAAGGAGCAAATACAATGGCTCAAAGAGCTCCTTTTAAACCATTGAGGAAACACTTCTCAAATCCTGTAGATTTGCATCACGTATTGCTTTTACATTCAAAGCTGCTACAACAACAATTTTGTAGCCGGTATAATCAGACGATAATTCCGAATCCTAATCCGAAGGTCGGATATCACATTAGCGACGAATGAAGGCGCCCTTTCTCGCTCAAGCAAGGTATACACACTCGTATACAACTTATCATCAGTATAAGATACACTGGCTTAGAGTCCATGTGGTACACCATCTTCAAACGTGTGCTTACGGTGGTTCACTTGGCTGTTCAAAGGTGCAGTGCTCGGTGTTATACTAAAGCCCGATCGAACTTTATTTGGTGGGCATAACTCCCCGTCTCAGTGAATGGTTTAAGGCTACAAAGCGATGTAAACAGATGAGGGCTCCAGGAGCCATGGATTATGTTTGATTATACGAACTGTAGCAACACACACACACAGAGAGAGAGAGTGTGTGTGTGTGTCGCTAACAGCTGCCAGTTCCACAAAGCCGTAGTGAGCCCAGGCTACAACACAAAAGTGTCCTCCAGGTAATCTTGTGTAGATCAACTAGTGACTTTAGCCTAAACACCACTACTTTTAGATAAGAGCTATTCATATCTGCCGCTATATTGCCAATTCGTCGCTTTCCATTTATTGCTTATCACAAATCAGAGCCAACTCTGAAACATAGTCACCATGAGATTCTTCAATATTATGATGTCAGGCACAGTTTTGATGAGCTCCATGGCTTCTGCCGGGTTCTTTGTCCAATTGAAGACGCCAGCAACCCTCGAGAAGCTCTTAGCACAGGACGACTCACTCAAAGCAAGCTCTCATGTCCGGCCATTCATCCAGAAGGTGTTTTCTTTTGGCGATTTTGAAGGGTTTTCAGGAAACTTCTCTAAACTGATGGTGAGAAGGTTGATCAAGAACGATTTGGTCAAGAACATCGTCAGAGATACAACAGTCAATGTGTTTGGTACAATTTCCCACGATTATAGAGAAGTCTCTGATACTGAGCTCACCACCTTCCAGGCAGACCCCTGGGATGGTTTTGGAACCCAGACAATGGCTCCTAGGCATTTGGCCTCGCTTTCAAGACAAGGCTCACTTCCTTTCAACGAGACTGTCAACTACTATTACGACCCAAAGCACCAAGGACAGGACGTCACAGTGTACGTCATCGACACTGGGGTCTTCAAAGACCACCCAGAGTTTGGTGGTCGGGTCTTGGAACAGAAAACGTTTGTTGGTGGAGACGTTGGTGATAATAACGGGCATGGAACGCACGTTGCTGGTGTTGTTGCTTCAAGGACATTTGGTGTTGCTAAGAAGGCAAACATCGTGGATCTCAAAGTCTTGGACCCTAGAGGGTCTGGTTCACTCACAAACGTCTTGGCTGCCATTGAATATGCCTGTAAGAGGAGGGCTGAGAGCAATACTAAAGGTATTATAAACCTTTCTCTTGGTTCGCTCAAGAACAATGTATTGAATGCAGCTATTGAAGCAGCATCACACAGTGGGATGGTTATCGTTGCAGCTGCTGGCAACTTTGCAAGTGATTCTTGCCGTGCTAGTCCTGCGAGTGCAGAAGGTGTCATCTCAGTTGGTGCCTTTGACGACAAGACAGATGAGATGGCATCCTTCACAAACCATGGGCCTTGCATCGACGTCCTCGCCAGTGGTGTTGACGTGTTCAGTGTTAGCCATAATGAACTTGAAATCCCCGCAGTTATGAGTGGTACCTCGATGAGTGCTCCAGCTATCTCTGGGCTCGCTGCGGTGTTGCTAAGCCAAGGTGTTGAGCCTCGTGAGATCAAGGGGAAGCTCATCGAGTACAGCAGATGTAACAGGATCAAAAATACCATCCACAAGACTCCAAACAGAGCTGCTTTCAACGGTGTCAATCGAGACGACGATGAGTATCCGCAGTCTTCTATGTACAACCCTAGTATTCATGGAATACAAGCTCAGCCGGTATATTCGAAGGTTGAAGGGCAATCGCAAGACAACATGAGCAGTGACACTGTATTTGCAGCATCAGAAGATTCCGACTCTGATAGGGATGATATTCCACAAGAGTTTGATGTTCCAGATGGTCAGTACTTATACCGTAGAGAGCAGCCAGCTGGCTCTAGCAGCAAGTTGATCTGGGTTTAGGCCTACACTTTTCCATGGGGGCTCAATAAATATTGTATTTCACTGGATGATGTTATTTGGAGCCTTGAGCGTAGTAGTGCAAGTAAGCAGACAGAGTCTTTGTACCTTCGATGTAGTTGGAGATATCCAGCTTTTCGTTTGTTGAGTGAGCACCATCATCACCTCTACCCACAGGCAACAATAAAACAGATGTCTTCAGTTCCTTTTCAAAGGTCAAAGTGATAGGGATGGACCCACCTTCTCTTGTGAGGTCAGGCTCCACTCCCCAAAC